GTGTTTTCTTTGTTCGACTTTTTCGTGATCGTGGTTATTTATTTCTTGGTTGAGTTCATTGGTTTCGTCTGGTGGGTCAAATTGATTTTTTCTGTTATTTGTCACGTTTTCTTTGTTCCATTCTTTTTTATTTTCGACTTTGTTCTCTGATTTTTCGAATTACCCGTATTTTTAAATTTTTCCAGATCGAAAATATTTTTACCTTTTTCTCTTCCTTGGTTGACGTCGAAAGTTTTTGGATAATTTTTTTGAAATAAATAATGTCTTCCATGGCGTTTTTTAAATCTCATATTTTAGCTCGTCCTTAAAATTTCCGTAAGTTTCGAGGTCAGTCATGTTGGCGATCAAAAGAAGAAATTTAAAATAAAGCATTGAAATAACCGACTGTTCACTAGAAAATTAAATTGGTTGTGAATATCTCAAGCATGTTATTGAACCGGCATTTGACCGGCATTTAAAAGTTTCAAAATTTTTTTCTTGTGTAGAGAACAACCGGTGTGATTTTTTTTCGTCTAATTTTATGAGAGTAAAGCGAGCGAGCAGGCTTGTAGTAGGCTTATAAGAGTTGGTTTAAAATTTTTATAGCTAACAGTTACAGCATGGACAGATCTGCCGAATAATGCAGTGGCATCAACTGCCCGATATTATCATGCAAAACTGTCATCGCTCCAACATGCGAATTGGCACACATGGAAAAGCACAGCAGAGGCATATTACCTGGCGAAGTACCGGAAGCCTGGTTGACGTCACAGCGCAGGTTTATATGTATCGTGTGTAGACCGCGAATCACATCGTGGGAGCTGCAGTGCCACGAACAGTCTCGAAACAGGGCGAGCCACCATCACAACAGAAAAGTCATCTTCAGATGAAGTCTTGACCTTAAAGCGGGCGACATTGAAGCACATCCCGAAACGAGCTCTTCAGAATTTCAGAAAGTGCTCAGGTCATATCTGTGAAAGTCGAAGACGCATGGACAAAACTGATGATGCTTCCAAGTGCGTGCTACCGTCAAACAAAAGAGCGGGGAAAAGCAAAATCTACCATCCATCGAAAAGTTTTGTGAAATGTGGAAAAAAAGGAGACCAACTTGCATTATGGGCAGGCGCTAAAGAAACAGCGGAGTAGGCCAAACTCTTAAAACCAAAGCAAACCAATGACCAGCAGCAGCGAGATGCTCAGCTAGACGCCACTCTCGCCATGCGGCAGGAGGTCAATACGGCAGAGCTGGTCGAATTCTGACATTCTCAGGAATTGCCACCAACACAGAACACACCTGAAATTTGTTCAAGTCCAAACATCCTCAAGCGCCAAATCCTGAAATCGACAAAGGTACTGAAGCGGTTCAATTGGAGTCGGGGTTTGACTGAAGCAATCAATAGCTTTCCTAAAGATACGGCGTGTGCCCATCGAGACTGAGGGCCCAACATCTTATTTAAGCTCAAGAAGCTCTAGTCCCGGTCAGTAATGCTACTCAGTTATGATATGTCGTGAACATCCTCATTCGAGGGGCAGCTCCAAGACAAGTATCTCCGTTCATCGCCGGAGCGTCTATGACGGCACTGAAGAAACCGAACGACGACATCCGCCCCATCGCATCGGGTGAAATTCTCAGACGGTTAACGAGCAAATGCGCATGCACCAAAATGAAAATCAAAGCTAGCAGCTTTTTCGAGGAGGAGCAGAGATTACACACCGGCTGCGAAAAGCGATGGAAGAGCACTGGCTGGACGAAGGCTTCGTTGTTTTCAAAGTTGACATATACAACGCTTTCAACACCATAGACAGGCAACTGGTCATGAGCGAATGCAAACGTCACTTCCCGCAAATTTCTGATATGGCGAGCATCCAAAGCTCTGGCACATGCTGGGCAGCCTCTTTTCAGAGCTCGGGGTCCAACAGGGTGACCCACTTGGGCCCCTCATATTCGCTCTTGCACTACACTCAGTGGTCAACGACTGAGACGCAGCATGCGATCTGCTCCTACCTTGTTTCGTATCTCGACGATGGCGTTTTCTCTGTCAAAAGATCAGAAATAGAGGAAGTCTCAGAGATCCTAGAAATAATCGAGAAAAAGTACCATGAGCTGTTAGGGGCACCGATAGACCGCCTGCAGTTCTGCCAGAATGCCATCGCGGAGAAGGCGAAGGAAGCCTACGAACTGTTGTCGAAGTTGCTTGAGTTAGGAAACCCGCCTCCACCACATTGCTCGTATTTGCGCTTCATTTTGCAGTTTTAGCCAGCTCGCAAGATCTGTCCCTCCAAACGTCTCTTCATGTCAGGAAGTGCTTTGAAGAGAGCGTGGTCGTAACACAACAGATCGAGCATGGACACTACCACAACTACCGATACGATTCGGGGGATTCGTCCTGCGGTCGTTGGAACACCACTGCAGCCCTGCATTCATAGCCTGACGCGCATTCTCAATGGGTGCCGCATCGGACGTTCAGAAAATGGAAGGCGCACTTGAATTTTTCAATAGCAGAATAGGGGACCATGAACACCTCAGTTCAACTTCTGAACTCGTTCGCTAGAAATCATTATCCGACTTGATTTACGAGCACAGTTTCCACGAATTAGAAGAAACTTGCACTCTTGCTGAAAAAGTCCAAACATCCTCAAGCGCCAAATCCTGAAATCGACAAAGGTACTGAAGCGGTTCAATTGGAGTCGGGTTTTAACTGAAGCAATCAAGAGCTTTCCTAAAGATACGGCGTGTGCCCATCGGGACTGAGGGCCCAACATCTTATTTAAGCTCACGAAGCGCCAGTCCCGGTCAGTAATGCTACTCAGTTATGATATGTCGTGAACATCCTCATTCGAGGGGCAGCTCCAAGACAAGTATCTCCGTTCATCGCCGGAGCGTCTATGACGGCACTGAAGAAACCGAACGACGACATCCGCCCCATCGCATCGGGTGAAATTCTCAGACGGTTAACGAGCAAATGCGCATGCACCAAAATGAAAATCAAAGCTAGCAGCTTTTTCGAGGAGGAGCAGAGATTACACACCGGCTGCGAAAAGCGATGGAAGAGCACTGGCTGGACGAAGGCTTCGTTGTTTTCAAAGTTGACATATACAAAACGCTTTCAACACCATAGACAGGCAACTGGTCATGAGCGAATGCAAACGTCACTTCCCGCAAATTTCTGATATGGCGAGCATCCAAAGCTCTGGCACATGCTGGGCATTCTCTTTTCAGAGCTCGGGGTCCAACAGGGTGACCCACTTGGGCCCCTCATATTCGCTCTTGCACTACACTCAGTGGTCAACGGCTGAGACGCAGCATGCGATCTGCTCCTACCTTGTTTCGTATCTCGACGATGGCGTTTTCTCTGGCAAAAGATCAGAAATAGAGGAAGCCTTAGAGATCCCAGAAATAATCGAGAAAAAGTACCATGAGCTGTTAGGGGCACCGATAGACAGCCTGCAGTTCTGCCAGAATGCCATCGCGGAGAAGGCGAAGGAAGCCAACGAACTGTTGTCGAAGTTGCGTGAGTTAGGAAACCCGCCTCCACCACATTGCTCGTACTTGCGCTTCATTCTGCAGTTTTAGCCAGCTCGCAAGATCTGTCCCTCCAAACGTCTCTTCATGTCAGGAAGTGCTTTGAAGAGAGCGTGGTCGTAACACAACAGATCGAGCATGGACACTACCACAACTACCGATACGATTAGGGGGATTCGTCCTGCGTTCGTTGGAACACCACTGCAGCCCGGCATTCATAGCCTCACGCACATTCTCAATAGGTGCCGCATCGGACGTTCAGAAAATGGAAGGCGCACTTGAGTTTTTCGATAGCAGAATAGGGGACCATGACTCCCTCAGTTCAACTTCTGAGCTCGTTCACTAGAAACCATTATCCGACTTGATTTACGAGCACAGTTTCCACGAATTAGAAGAAACTTGCACTCTTGCTGAAAAAGTGATGTTGCCAAATTGGTGACTGGATCCGCTCGCAGCCCTCAGACGCGCTGCGCTTAGCCTTATCACCCAACGAGTTGATAGTTCTCACCAATGGCGTCTCGGTCTGGAAATTTTCCCCTCCAATTCATCGTACCCCCTTTGCCCAAACGAGGCACTCGCCTAGCAAGCCTTGGCATGCAAACAGGGCCCAGATGTTTGCAGACGGCACAATGGACTGCGCAACTCTATTCGCGATTACTGTCGAATAGCACAACTGAATCCCATTCTAGAGGCGGGATCAGGGCTTAGCGACCGAACGCGCCCAGCAGACGTGCTCGTGGCAATGTGGAATCTGGGAAAGGACGCAGCCCTGGACACCAACATTGACGAAGCGGTCACAATTTGGGGTTCAGCAGCAGCGGCCGCGGGATCAAGAAAGCACTGGAATAACGACATGAAGTGCCAGGAACGTAGCTGAAAGTGTATTACTATGGTGGTCACATGCTACGGTGAGTAGGGTAACAAGGCCATGGCATTTCTAGACCGCCTGGCATCTCACTTGGCCATGTAAACAGCCACCAGCACGTCGGAGATAAAGAACGCCATCTACACTTGACTCAGCTGCCTAATAATTCAGTCGAACGAGCAGGCAATGCTGTCGAGAGGCCGCGGGATAAATAACGGCAGGACGATTGGAATTATCGATTTGCGGCCCATCAGCTTAACCCCATAGACATTACCAATACATCTTCAACATTAAGCTCGCTATCAAGCATTTCGCCAATAAACGGACACATCCATGGTGCAAGACAATGTAACGCGGACACTGCTGGTTGGAGGAACGGCGAATTTTGTTTGTCACAAACTGGGTCTAAAAGTGAAATACTCAGAGCAGAAAGCTAAATTAGTGGCCAAAATAAATGGCTAAAATTTTGCAACCTTAAACTGATTCATTGATTTTTAATAATTTAAATAATTTATATGTGGTAAACATTTATATTATGTGGTAAAAAAAATTATTTAAACCCAAATGAAGTTAGCTGCCGAGATTTTTCTTTCAATCACAAGTTACGATGCAATGCTATTATTTTATCTTTAGAAACAACAAGAGCTACAAAATATGGAAGCAGAAGTGGATCAACAACGGAGCAAAGTTCCCTCCATCAGTGTCTCATTATTTGGCTGAATGTGAGCTCCCTTTCTGGATAGAGTGCACCGGTTGCAAAAAATGGAGATGTGTCCCGAAAGACCTAAAAGTTACAGAATCTTTCATTAGGTCTTTCAAGTGCTCAAATGTTCAAGGAAATAAAAATAGAGTGAGATGAAAGCCTGATGCTATTTTAAACTTCTCTCTTTCTTTTCGAATTGACTTGACAATGATATATTTTAGGTCCTTTCAAACCTTAAGAAGTGTTCACCCTGCTCTGTGCCACAGTGCAAAGTATGTTGTTCAGTTTACCATAATTGCTCATTAATTTTGTAAATTTGACAGTTTTATTGTTTGTTGCAGTGCGTGGCGAAGGCGTTAGAGTTCTCATGGTTGAACCAACTGTCGATTCCGTGTCTTCTTCGTGACTCACCTGCTGCTCCATTTTTGGGAGCTTACTTCCCAGAATCGGTCGGAATTTCTCCGAGCTCCACAAATTACCGACCAATTAAGTATCACAAATCGCCTTCCAAATTAAGTGAGTCGCTTTAATAATCGGGTCCAATTTATGAATTTTTCATGCTTTGAATTTGAAATTTATGAAATCTTTTCTTTTTCAGAGAAGAAACGCCACGATGCTAATCGGCCGCTGTATACAAACGGGGACGTTGTTCTGTCAGGTAACAAAAATCATGTTTAATACAAGCTGCTAGCGAAGTGTTCCTTTTCGAAGTATGAAGCGTTGTCGCAGAGCTCGAGGGGCTCCAAATCCAGTATTTTCATATATAATCCCGAAAAGCCGTATTGGAACTGCGATTAGGAGCTGTTTTGTGACAGGTATAATCAAATAAAAAGGCCCTTATTTAGTACATTTTACCGCCGTTGTCGACTCTAGGGAATTAATTTCGAAGAAGGTAGATTGCGGGTGGCTGAAACCAAGACCTCAAATTATAAGCTTTCAAAACTGATGATTGTCGGTCGGTTTAAATCTATTGCGGAAAGTGTTTTTTTTAAATCGAAGATCTGACAAGTATTACCACAACACGAGTGGCGTGATCGCTTAAAAAGCATTTAATTTTACAGTTCCTGGACTGAATTCATTTCTCCACCCTTTCTATCAACCATATGAAGCTGGGAAGGCACTTAGTGTTCGACCAGATATTATGGAAGCAGACGAAATTTTGGAATTCCCCGAATTCGCTGAAGTTAAAAATGGGTTAGTATTGATTTTCATTGAAAGGTAATCTTTATATCCGAGCTGTTCAATGTTGTTTTGATTTAGTAAGCAGTCTATGTACTTGGGGCTAAGGAATCTCGTGATTGCCATCTGGAATCTAAACCCAATGGTAGGCTGAGTTTTGATTGGTGTTTTTAATTCTGAGAAGTTCGAATTAAATTATTGGACTGCAATGGTTTCAGGAGTTCGTAACGCCAGAGCTCTGTGGTCCGAAACTGTTTGTACGTGGTCTACTCAGGGTTCGATGTCTTCAAGAACTGGAGCGGATAATAGACTTCCTCACTCGCAAAGGCACAATCAATAATGGAGTGTTGCGCAGACAGATATGCGAGAGACCTCTCCTGCCACCCTATGCCACAAAAGTAAGTTTCTACACTGTGGAACCTGATCTAAACTACATTTTATGATTGGATAATTTAGATATTTTACCAATGTAAAGTATTTAATATTAACCAATCATGATCCATCTAACTAACAACCCACTTATTTGTAAGTGCTGAAGTTACTTGTAATTTCAGCACCAGAGAGATTTGAATTTAACTTAGAAATTAGTTGGACTCTCCCGAGCACTTCAGCAGCCGCAATAAACCAGTATACCCTAGATCTATTGAGCCTAGCAGAGACTAGTTAAACAACCTGAGACTAGATAGTATAAGAGTAAGATTAGGATCGGTATTAGACTAAGAAGTTGCACGAATCTATCCGGCCGAAAATAAGATAGCGTGACGAGCAGACGGTGTACCCTATCCGAAATTACTCTATGAGTTAACCAAGACGGTCCTAACTCATCTGGTGCGACCATAAGTCTCGAACAAGACCTTAATAGCTTAGAATTAACCAAAATAGATTAGAAATTAGACAAAAACATTTACAAAATGTTATACGACAATAATTTAATCGAAATGTCTCTACGACTCAATAGATCAGAGCCAATATTCCGAACGATAACAGAACTACCCGGAATTGGAAGAAGACCTCGAACCAGAGACGACATACGACAAAGTAGAAACTTACCATATAGTTATATGATAGTTCGGCAAAAGCCAACACAAACTTTTGTATTTAGAATACTACTAGCAATGAATTTAGATTTTCATTTGCAAACATAAAATTTTGAAGTCAATGTTCAAAATCATTTCAGGCGCTAAACAAAATTATTAATATACAATAACGATTGATAAAAAGATCTAAGATCGTTTTCCTAAAACTCTGCAGTAATATACAAAACATGTTTGAAAAATATTTATTGAAAAAAAAATAAAAATAAAAATTAGTAGCATGACAATAAATGGTTAGTAATCATAAATCATCCTGTTGTTCCAGCTCCATCATCTAAAACATAACAGCAATCATAAACCCACTAATATCATCAAAACACTAAATCTTTCCTTTACACACATTTAAAAATTTATTAAAATTTAAATTCACTAAATTTTAAAACCAGATCATCAAGGCTTATCCTTGGATCTTAAATCATTTTCTACTTAATTAAATTTCAAATTTGATCATCAAGGCTTATCCTTGGATCAAACAGAACAACTTTGTTCTCCCCCACCCACTTAATTAGTGTCTAACGACCTCAAACGTCGATTCACTACCCAACCCTTTCTAAAGACCCAAGACTAATAGAAATTTTTAAACAAAACTAATCATTCAAATTAGGATAAACAGTGAAGAATTTCGGTTATTCATCCTTCACTTGACCCCCCCTCTTACCAGACCCAGGATAAATCTTAGACTTAGTAAGTTTAAAATAGTATCTAACGAACTACTCGCGTTCTAATTATACCTGAACCTTGTGGATCGATTTACTATTCTCCAACCCTTGAACACAATCACTACCCCTAAGTAAGATTAAGTAAGTTAACACCTTAACTTATACTAGCCACGAGAAAGTAAAAAATCATTCTTCGGAATCGATATACTTTTCTCTCCAACCCTGAACAAATAGACCCAGGTTAAGCTAACCAAAAAATCGTAAGAACTAACAGTTTAGGAAAATAGAAATCATTTAACAACCCTTTGCATCCGTCATTCTAAACCTTATGTCATTTAAAAACCTAGGAAATAAACAAACAATCGTTTTACACAATTGTGAAATAGATAACAAAAAATACGACCTTGTAATCACACCTCATACACAAACAGTTGGATACATTCGAACAAAACGACAAACACTAAAAAGAAAAATAATAACGAAACAAAGACAAATAACACGAAAAAGATTTTCAAAAAATCGAAACGCATTTTCAGAATCAGAAACCAACAGTTTAGACGAACTTTACAAACTAAAAGAATCAATAGATAAAAATTGCCCAATTCACGATCAATTATATTTCTCTGACTCAGAAACAACTTCAAATTCATCACAAAGAGGAAAAAGAAGAATAAAAAAGCAGTACAAACACAAACCAGTACATTTATACAATTGGAATCAACCAATTCGACACATTAATAATTACATATTAACAGTAATCGAACGAAAAAATGAGCTCAACGCACACTCCAGGTGAAGAAACTCCAGATGATGATGAAATCTTTCCTTTTATAGTAGACGCAGATACTGATAGAGGACAACACATATTTTGTCAAAATTTACTCGTAAATTTATTTGAACCCGGAAATAGTCCATGTAAAACAGAGTTCCCAGATGTAAAAATCAAAAGACAAATCATAGACCACTACTTAAAAGATATATGCAACATAACACAACAGTATGGAATCTACTCCATAGAATTCACCTCACCAAACCATAATAATAGAAAATATACAATTCAAACAGACGATCTTGATTTAGAATTTTCAAAAGTTTTTTCAGAATATATAAAAAGCATCCAATATCAAAACTCACAAAGAGCAAACTCCATATTCACCAATGAAGTTTTCGCAATAATATATAGTTATATTTCGATATTAGAAAACGAAATCCCAATAACAAATGTCTCACCGACAGAAACATCTAAACATTTAAGAGTACGACATGAAATCACACTACTATCTAGTTATTTAAACATCATTAAAGAAAATTTCACGAAAGACGACGTTTCACAACATACAAAACACGATCTACAAAAAATTTTGGCATGGTTCATAATAGATTATTTCACACACAATATTGATTTAATTGCACAAGCAAGAAAAAATTTTAGACCCCAAAACTCGAACGATGATACCGCTATCACAGAACAATCAGATTATGTTTGGGACCCCGAATGGTCTCATCCAGCATTTATAAGCTTCCCACAATCAATCTCAAGTCAAGCAATAAGTACGATATCTTACATAAGAGATTATGTAAAAGTAATACCATTAACCATTGATGCAACACCATTAAACTATAATACATTTTTGCCCGATACACAAAATAATAGTTTAAACTCTACAGTTATACACAATGAAAACCTCAATGGAACTAGGAATCTTACTCAACAAGATATCCAGACACCATCACACTTCATAAATGAAGAAATTGTACACACAACAACTACACAACAAAGTATTTCACCAATACGCCCAAATTTAACAACACCAAGAAATACAAATCCTTCACAAACACAGGTAACCTTACAATCAACCGTTAAACCTTCGGTTGCCCCTAAATATTCACATATGGATTACCAAACATACAGACCCATGACAATACCATCAAAAACACGCAAAACATTCACTAGAAACAACTTTACAGACCATAATTATAATTATACACATCCATCAAAAACATATAATCAACCACAAAGGAATTTTAACCAATATACAAGATCTCGAAATTGGGATAACCCAATGACCCAACCTAATTCAATAAATTTCCAAACAAATCCTCCACAGGATCACAGTGAAAATTACCCATTTTTTCAACAAAATAAAAATAAAAAACAGACATCTTATCAAATGGATTATTTATCCTCAGATGATGATTTCTTACAACCAGATATATTTGCACCAAATACTCAAGAATATCGTAGACAAAGAATACAGAGAACACGTACAAATCATAGAAATTTTTCTCCACAACCAATAGATGCACAACATCAACAACCAATTCAACAACAAAATTTAATTAATACACAATCTTTTCAACCAATTCAACAACAAAATCCAATGACTGCACACTCGTATCAAGCATCACAAATGCAAAATGAAATACCACTCCCATATTATCTCCAACAACATGAAATAACAAGAAACCAACTTTCAAATTTTTCTCAAATGCCAAATGCAGCAGAATCATTACAAATGACAATGAATCCATACCTTATGGGTGGATCATCAATAACATCAAACAAACCTTTAATGGTTTTCACAGGAACAGACCCTGAATACTCTGTAGAAGATTATTTAAATGCAGTAACAGCAAACCTGATTTTAAATATTGGACCTGAACCCATTAATACGCCACTACATCAAAACTGGATACATCGACGCACAGCGTTAATACAAACAACCTTAGATGGCGCAGCCCAAAAATGGTTTTCAGTACTACCTCTAGAAATAAAATCAAACTGGAAAAGGTTTACACAGGAATTTTCAAAAATGTTTGACTCCGAAAGAAACAAACAACAACAAAGAGTTTTATGTAATGAAATTCGCAGATTACCAAACGAAACCATCAAGCAAATAGCAGTACGAATCGAAACACTAGTTCGAAAAGCATATTCATTAAATACACATGACTATAAAAACACAAAGATGACAGAAATCTTAATGATGACCTTAACACCACAATTAAGGAAAATAGCAATAAAAAAGAGAGCATCCCATCCTTCTTCAATTCGAGAACCCGATTTAGATTTTCGAAAACTAGTAGACAAATTAGAACAAGCAGAAATCACGATGAAACTAGAAGAAACGGAAAATCTGAAACTACAATACGTTAACAGAATTGAAACGACTCCCACTAATATTAATAATATACAGGAATCAGAGACAGACCTCGTTGAAAAAATCACTGAAATACTCAATATTTATGAAAAGAACCCAAACTTTAAAGGCAAACCATCTTTCAAAAAATGGTGTAATTATTGCCGACGATACGGACATAGTATTTCCGAATGTAGACAAAAACAGCAAGACAATCAAAATAAACCTCAAAAATATAAAGAACCAAATAAATCATTCTATCAATACATGAAAAAAGATCAAAATCTACCGAACAAAACAGTCCACAGCAACAACAGTTCAGGAAAACCACTCCCGAACAACACAAATTATACAAGAAATCAATCACCATATAACTCAAGTTATAGAGGAAGATCACCAGAACGAAGAAACACGAACAATTCATCACAAAATCACTACAATAGACCAAATAGTCGAAATAACTACTCCAGATCAAATTCAAATACACAACGATTTGTTTCTAGAT